ATAGCGTTACTTTCCAAGTAAGCATACTGACAAATCTTAGTATTATCTTCACCATGAACTTGGTAATCATTGAAACCTATCTTTCCAACTTCTTTTTCATGCTCTGAGAGTTGTTGCTCATGTGATTATTCTTCTTGTTTTTCTATTATTCTTTCACTTGTTTTTCAATTCCTTCTTCATAAAGCCTCTTATCACAACTTTTCATTTTGTAGAGACATTTTAAAATATCCTTGTTTGTCATCTCATGTTTAAAATTTACTTAAACTATTTCTATAGTTCTCTCATGAATTGTCTCACAAAATAAATTTCTAACTCTCTTCATAAAATGCATAGATATCTCTTTTGCAACTTATTAAAGAAGAAATATATCAGAGTATTAAAAAGAAAATACATCAGTTTAAATGGTGTAATTTTTAAAGAGGAAGTAAATCAAATTAAAGAGTATAAACATAAATTACACTCTTTGTAATTAATTGTCTATTTACTTTTTTTGTTATGGAAATCGATAAAATAGATTAAAGAGTATAAGCGTAAATTACACCGTTTGCAATTAATTGTAATTAATTGTCTATTTACTTTCTTGAAAACTATATATAGAAGTTTGATATTCAGTAAAATACACATCAAACTAACGTGATATCAAAACTTTAGACTAAAAAACCCTATACTTTTTTCTAAACTCTATTCGACATTCATTGTCAAAATAGATAATAGAAATTCTAGAAGAGTTAGGTCAGCCTTCATAGCTAGCTACTAGTGACCAGTTGCCATCCACCGCCGACCACTAGTAGCAGCCTAATCGGCCTTCATCGTCGGCGCTTAGTTTTATTAAAATTGAAACCAGAAAACATTTTTATGTACCAAATACAGTATAGTTTACGAACCTGTGTACAACATTGCCACTATGATACAGTACTTGAATGCTTTCCCAAATGAAATTGATTTGGTCTGCCATCATACTCACAGTTAGCCCTAAGATAAGTATATGAACTATGCAACATAAATACAATGAAAAGGACAGGGAATTGTCAAATCAAGAGAAAGTACTAACTTCACTAGCCAAAGATAGAGAAACTACTAACTTAAGAATTTTGTTAATTTCCAAATTAATGCCATGCAGCTTCTCCAGACAACAGTAACATGATTTGATGTAGTTTTGACACGTGATTCAAACTTATTCAATTACTTTTCGTAATTTAAACTCAAGATGGCTATCCATGAGATGGTGGTGGCATCATAACTATCTTTAAGGAATTGTGTTGTTTTCTTCTTTATGAGAAAATAAATATATTAGAATGAGGAGGAAAAGGGATAACATGGGTGATAATAAATCATCCTAAAACAAAAAAGAGACGAAAAAAGGAAAGAAAAACATCAAACAACACCACAACCCAGTCTCTTTTTACAAAATAGCCAAATATCATAGGATTTTTGGCTCACCTGTATGTGAATGAGTTTGTTTCATTGAGGACCTTGATTGGTGTACAATTGACCGGGAGAGAGTATGGTAATTTGAGAGACCTTTCAAAGAGATGGAGATTAAGAGAGATCTGTAGGACTTTGGGTTGGGGAAGGCTTCAAGGGTGGATTCACCATTGCCTTCTCCCAAAAGTTGTTAGAATGCCATTACTGCAATTTGATAAGGTTTTCCTAAAATTCTATCTTAATGGTAAAATTGGCTCCATTGTAAATTCTACTTTCATTACTTTTGAGTCCCAAGAAAGATCCATCTACTAAGGTCTCCGACCACTGCCTAATCAGTTTGCTCACAAGCATGTACATGATTATCATCAAAGTTTTCTCTTTGAGCTTATCAGTTTGCTCAAAATGCTTTTTACAGGGGAGCAGAAAAATTCTTGATGAATTTAGGGGATTGAGGAAACAAGGGATGGTCTTGAACTTGGATCTTGAGAAGGCATATGATCGTGTGTATTGGCATTTTATAGACAAATTTTTGGAGAGGAAAAGTCTTGGAGGTAGGTGGAGGGGTGGATTTATGGTTGCCTTACGTTAGTGGTTTTATGTGGTGGTTAATGATAAGTCTAAGGATTGTTTAGGAAACAGCATGGTTTAAGACAGGGAGACCCTCTTTCCCTCTTTCTGTTCACAATTGCAGTTGATGTTTCGAGTAAGATGATTTCCTGGGTACGAAAAGAGATTGTTGGAGGGTCTTTATCTTTGCAATGATTGAATTAATGTTTCTATGTTAAGCTTGAAGATGATACGATTCTCTCCCTATTGTATGAAAATTAGTGATGTTATCACCATTTTATATATCTTTGAACTTATTTCAAGTTTGCAGGTCAATCTTAGTAAGAACTGCTTGGAAGGATTAAAGGGGGGAAAGAGCATTATAGATGTGTGGCCTTTCATTTATTTGGCAGTTCTTTTCCGTTGGCAGTCGTCAAGCAGTTTCTTTTTGGTATCTACTGTTTTGTAGGTTTTTTAAATGCCTTGAGGGTTGGAAGAGCACCCTTTGGGGGGAGGAGGGGA